GAGGGAGGTCTGGGCCTCTTTGCTTAGGCTGCTGCCCCCGCGACCCGGCCCCGGACAAAGCGGATGAAAATGGATGGATGGATGGATGGATGGATGCTCGTAAAAGCATGCAGAAGAACAAAAAGAAATGACTGAAGAAAAAGTAACAAATGACTCAAACTATCGAGTTTATCTTTCTTCTTCACTTTTAGTGACTGTGTTTTTATTTTAATTTATATCCATGGAAAACAGTGAAGTTGGGTCAGGAGACTATTTTGTCATTCACACAAACAACACAACAAATACAAAAATCCAGTTTTTTCTTCTCCTTCTGCAGTTCCCCACACTGCTGAACGGACCCATCCCTGTGCCTTTGCCTGCCATGGACACCTCCTCTCCTCTGCTGCTGTCCTCCAGCTCCCACAAGTCTTGATGCCAGCCTAAGATAACAGGGAAATGGGCCGGACCACATTAACACTGAACCGGTGCCCATTAAACACATTAGAACCGCCGAGGATTTGGACTCGCTCTGTTACACTTTAAATCCAACACCTGTTGCTTTGTATTGATTATAGAAGAAACAGGAGCTTATCTGAAACTTTGCTCTCTGAGAAGAGCATCTGCATTGGCCCCTTTTTCATGTTTACTTGCTTTAACATGTGTTTGGCGTTTTCATTCCTTCAGGACAGAAATCTTTGAACTGTTTTCAAGCAAAGAATCTGAGTGAAGGCCAGACCTCATCACATTTCTCATGTCATTTTTTTAAAAAATCAGTCTCATTCCACTTTGTCTAAGCTTCAGTGATGCAGACCAGCTGAAATATAATACTGCTTTCCCCCCTTGCATTAACTAAACTCAGTATCCACATTCCTAATTAGTGTACACCACAGTGTCAGAGGCTAGTCTTAATAGATTCATACCTCCAGCTTAAAGAAAGCACAGAAATATACTTTCCTATTGAGGGTTAGTGTTACATGCCAGGATTGTTGGCACTCCCGCGTATGTGTGCAGAAAATGAAGCTAGAGCCAGACAGTTAAATGTTTAGATCTGCTTATTCACAAGGTAATAAAATCAAAGTACTTGAAAGCTCATTCATGAAAGATTTATCTGTAAATAAACTGACCTGTAACCCAGAAAATCACTGACATAGAAGCTCATCTGGCTTATGATTCATCACAATTCACAGGTTATTTTAATGTGTAAAGTATGCAAAGTAAGTACTTACTTGGCTGAACTGTGTAAACAAGAACTGAAATTCACTAAAAAGTCAAGGACGTTTACAGTCCTATCATGTTAATTGTTAATGAATCCCAATAGATTAAAAACTGACCAGTGTTCTAGGAGGAGTGGTTCTTCTGAAAATTTGACAGGGCATCCATGAAATCTCAAACATAGTCTTGACCTTGAGCACAGTTTGGGTGAATATTGTGTGCAGGTTCGAGTCAGCTCTGACCAATACTCCAGGAGTAGCGATCCTTGTGAATTGTAGACAGATTTGTATTCTTGTAGGGTCTCTACCTTACAACATAAAGCACCTTCAGGCAAAATCTCATTAATACCAAGAGAAGAGTCACAGCCTAAACCCTAAAATCACAACTTAAAGCTTCAAAACACTTTTTGTGTGTGTGGATTAAGAACTTAGTGATTTAATCACTAGTAAGCTTTAGTAATGGATTTTGTAACCTTTGAAACAGTCAATGAACTGTTCTAGCTTTAATGTTTAGTGCACATATATGAAAGGATCAGTCTTTGAATTCATCAAAATTTGATCAAAAGGGACCATAACTCAAGAATTTGACACTACAGGCTACATAGGCCAGTAAAGAAAACTTGCTACAACAGCGAGCAAGTCGTGAATGAGGATGATACAGCTTTCCCCCCCCTTTCCTTTCCTGCTAAACCTTCCTTTTAATATACCAAATCTCCAAATGTTCACATTTTTTGGATGTTGCAGGCCTCAGGATTTTTTCTTTTTCTTTTTTTTTATTAAACACAATAAAAAAGTCTTTGAGCCGGACATGTGACCACATGACAAGGGACCTTCACTGACTCCTAGCAGAACTCCTGCTAGCCAGAGTGCTACAACGCTGTGGAAGTCATTATTTCCTGTATAATATCTTGTATTTTTTCAAATGCACTGTAATTTTTTAACCTTCTACCAGCTGTGCCTTTCTCAATATGTAAGATTTATGTAAATGTGTTTAGCTTAAGTTTGACATTCAAAGTCAAAATTGCACAAAGAATTTGTTTTTTTGTTTTAATGGTTTGTTTTTTGTTTTAGAGAAATGAATAGAAGTGTATTCTCAGTGATTTGCTTGTTTTCTGCATTCTTTAAATAAATGTTACATTTTTTTTGAAATAGAATTATTATAGTACTTTTTTTAAAAGTCACAATTAACTATCAGGTAGCGTGGTGGTGCGGTGATTAGCGCTGTAGCAACAAGGTGGTCCTGGGATGGATGAAAAACAAAGAATGACTGCTACGCAGAGCTTTTAGGAAACTGTTTAAATTTACTTTCCATGGTTATGAGAAATAAATAGTTCCAGTAAAAAGAGTCACACACCAACTGTTCACCGGCAGCTCAGTGTTTCAGAGAGGTCGAGTTCACAACACAGCAGGCCTTCCATGCATCAGGCTCACATACACACACACGTTCAGACGTGTTCACGGAAAAATACATCAGTCACACATTTTGAAAAAGTACAGTTTTACAATGATAAATATTTTAGCTGTTATCGAAATCTCCTTTTGTGCATGTTACTGCTGTTCGTGCACACAAATGTCCTATTAACAGGAACAGTTTGCAGTTCACGGAGAAATAATCCTGCATCTTTCGGTCTGATCCAAGTAAAATGGAAATCAATAACTTCTGAAAAACAAAAACTATTCTAGTGAAGCATCCAAGCATGCAGTATAAGAAAGCTACTTTATTTTAAAGAGACATGTTTTGGGTCGATGTAATACAGGAAATCTACCATTAATATAATGACATTTTCCTGGGAACACAATAATTTATACATTATTCTAAATATAAACTGGTTACAGTATATTTTCTTTACAGTATTTGTGTTGTCACAGTTTGTGTTGAGCTCTTGAACATGATAATGTCCCCCTTATAAGGAAAGCCTCCTAAGAGTTATCTACAGGATTATTAAACTGTTAGCTGCAAACTGTGTTAGTTTAGTTTACTCCATTAATGCTTTCATATATTAATTTATCAAGAATTAGTTGTGCCTCGAGCACTTCTATAGCATTTTTCTACCCAATCAGTATCTGAAAGAGAAATCTCTACTGTAGACATTTAAAAAAGAAAAAAAAAAAAAAAAAGAGCGTAAATACAAAACTTTCATTAAGATGTCGACCAAAAGAACTGCAGTAACAGGAAAACCTCCATCAGATCATCTTACATGTGATGTAAGCACCCTGGTATTTAGTTGCACAAGATTAACCACTGCAGTCAGGTCTGTTTTGCTACTGTGAGTGCAGGTGTTCGCTGACATTTTACGTAATTCTTCTGCGTGTGACTTTTTTGCTGCCACAAAAATGTAATGTTTTCTATTAATCCTTTAAGGAAATGGTTTGACATTTCGAGAAACATGCTTATGTGCCCCAAGTAAGATGACAAGGCTGACACCACTCTTGGGCTTGAACACTGAGCTAAAATTCCCAGCACCTGTAAAAAAAACATTTTGGTTTTTACAGGTGATCATGTTTTTCACTTAAACGGTGAAATAAAGCAGAATGCGTTGATTTGTCAGCTTTGTAGGTGTGGACAAACGTTACAGCTCGTCATTTCAAACTCTTTTCAGTCTAACCCAACCAAAGCTAAAGCTTCACATTTAGCATGACGTCAATCTTCTCATGTAACCATTTCCAATGAAGATCAGCCAAAGTCTGGACCACGAGTGATTACGCCTACACTGGTCCATGGCAAAAAGAAAAGTGCATATACAACTAAAATAAGCCAGGGATGCAAAGCACACCAGTGAACATTTATAAGAGGGTGATTTGAGGAGGTCTTCCCTTTGTTTCAGTAAACATATAATCAAAAGCAAGACTTCTCAACAGGCTTTATCATCTGTAGCATCACTGTTGGTTGCAAACAACATAGCGGGCAAATGTAAAAATTTCAATTTGAAATGTCTTTTTTTTGTACAAATACTGAAAGAGCAGTGGTTGTTCAAAGGCAACCCTCATTGCCTTTGAACAGCCCTCCCCACCCCCACTATCCCACCCCCCAGCTCTGAGAACATGCCACACTGACACTGCTGTTTCACAAGGAGAGGTCACAGACACAGAGAACACATCCTAATACTGTTGGGTAAACTTGGCCAAGCGAGGCTCCTGTCCCTGATTCCAAAAGAAAAAAATAAAACAAAATAACAAACTGAAACAGACCAAAAACAAAATACACGCACACACATGAAGTGCAAGTTAAACACAAAGAATTACTGCAGTGACATCTCCGAATGTACACAAAGCAAGAAAGTGTAGTTTGCATTTATATTTAAAAAAAAAACAAAAAAAAAAAAACACACACAAAAGAAAACAAAGGAAACAAAGCATTGAAATCCTGGCAGCTCTGTGAGAGGTTTTAAGGAAGGCTTGCTGGCTTCCTGTGGGAGTCACATGACTTCCTTTTCAGCTCCAGTATTCCTCTTCTTTCATCTGCTTGCCTCCCCTCCCGTCACACCTCAGTTTTGGTCCCGTTGGTGAGCAACAGTGGTCAAAAAGAAGCAAGGGGTGGATGTTCACATGTAGACCATGTAGCTCTGCGTGTGCTTCTTTCAGCTGTCAGTCATAGTCACACTCTCTGATTTTCAGTTTAACCCCAGAGGGCAGCGGGTCTTCTGCAAGTCCATCCTAAATGTTTTTGGAGAAATGACAACCAACACCATCTAGTGTTTCTGGAAATGTTGTAGAGTTCAGTCACGGAAGCTCGAAGAAAAACAAAACATAATCTCCAAATATATATGTATATAGAGATATACATATTTTACAAAAGAAGCTTTCGATCTCCAAGGACGACGACAACAAGAACAACAACTTGGGCCACAGCATCGACATCAACATCAGTTGACTCATGAGAAGCCGGAGGATCGTTGTCAGGAGAACAATAGTAACCTTACTGACTGCTCAACTGTGCATGGCATCCCGAGTTCACATTGTGCAAACACACACACACACACACACACGCGCGCCTTCGCGCAGACACACACTGTGTTAAATACAGACAGTAGTAGTTTAGCAGCAAAAAAAAGTTCAACCTCACCCATCCCCCCCCGCCCCCAATAAATAAACAGTCACCAAATAGATTCAACTCAGAGTCACTCGCTCAGATTGAGTGTTTGCGTGCGCGTGTGTGTAGTTAAATGGGTGGTGTGGGTGTCACTCCGAGGGGTGGTGGGCTCATGCAAGAGGCTGCTGGGAGGTGTAGATGAAGTGGGGCGTCTTCTTCATGAAACACTAGAACAGCATGCTTTGCCTCCTGTTGATCTTGCTGTTACCTAAAAGAGAAAAAAACAACATGTAAAATACATCACCCATAATGCCTTTGGTTTAAGCCATAGACCGCAGGTGTTCCTCATTCAGAACTGCACTTTCTGTGTGTGTGTGTGTGTGTGTGTGTGTGTGTGTGTGTGTGTACACGCATGCATTTAGGCAATTCTAGGATGCTAGAACCGTCTTAGTTAACAGATGCATTTTCATCATAAATAAATGATAGCAATAAAGCATTTTAAAGTTCACATTTAAATTTTAAGGATGGTTGACTCCACAGTGAGGTCACCGAACAGTTTATGAACTACTTTTCTGAAGTCTCGAGGTTGAGATCAATGCTGATGCCTTCTTCGTCTTTTGAAACCAGATTCGAACATGTTTGAGAGAGAGTGGAGCTGATCAGCTTAGCTCTTGGTGCATTTGATCTTCGATATATTATTTAGCTATTTTTGGACAGGACAAAATGTAAGGACAAAGGTGGTTGACTCTTTAGAGTGGCTGTTGGTACAACTGCATGTTGAACAGAGGGTGGGTTCTTTAGAATTCATGGACCATAATTAAAATAAATAAATAAATCAGCATCATGTTAATTAAAAAGCACTTGAAAATGTAATTGAGACCATGATTTCATTTCTTCGTTAAATGATCTAAAAAAGCCGAGTTGGTTAAACATTTGGATTCTCCACCTACCTGACTCTGGATACGAGGAGTTCCTGTAGCCTGGGTCTCTCTGCAGCTGCACTTCTTTCAATGTGAATATTGATACACCTGAAACACAGGGGAGAGGTTCAGTTACTCCAACGAGTAACAGAAAAGATAAAAGAATCGAGAACCAAAGCCTCTGAAAGACAGACAGCAGCTTTATTATCAAAGGTGTGTATGCTCACTCTCAGGCAGTGTGTGGACTCTCATCCCAAGCTGCCTGAAATAGGAATGCTTCATTGCCTCATCAGCTGAAATTCTCTTCTTGGATTCGTACTGCGGAGACAGAAACAGGAAACGATAAGGATCCTGTGACTTTATCAAAAAACGCATCAGTGCAGCAATCAGGGAATTCACAAGAAGTTCGTTACTGTGCCTCCTGCTGTCATCATAAAGGAATTCATTACTAAAATAAATCTAGTGACTAGTGATGCAAAGCTGAAGCTTTGCCATTACAGAAACACACAAACGTAAACACATCAGCCTTTTTTCATATCCAGCAGATGAGAAGAGAAATGACAAGCAACAAACTGGAAGTCAGATATGAACTGGTGATACTGTGGTTCACGGTTGGTGCCTTAAACTAGTTAGATTATTTTTCATTAGTTTAAAGTCCTTTGTTTGCTAGTAGACTTAGACTCTGAAAACTACTACCAGACTAAAAGTCAAACATATACAGGCAAGCTGGTTCTTCCATGCAACCTATGGGAAACCTGCCAGCACCCATAGCAAACATAAAGAGGCATTTAATGCAGCCCCGTACACCTATTTGCAACAATACCCTGGGACTCTCTGCAACCACTAGTAACCATTCACTAACCCATTGAGCAATACACTTCTTTTCTTTCTTTTTTTACCTGGCAACTTGTGGTTGCCGGGTGTTGGGGTGGGGTGTCGCTCTGTGTGACTGGGGCTTAAGTTACACCAAACCACTGATGATATTCATGTACGTCTCACTATTTTTTGAGTAACTAAATCAGTTTTTAAAAAGCTGGGTGTGAATGGTTTAATAGGAGCATTTAACAGAACTCAGTTTTGACCAGCTGTTACTATTTAACCAAAGGCTTGCATAAGACAAAGAAAACTAGGAATATCAGTGCAATATATATACACAACTACTTATACAGTATTGTGATTACTGTGACAGTAAAGACTCACTCTGAGGAATGACAGCAGCAGCTCGATGCCTTCACTGTCTAACCTAAAGAAGACAAAAAGAAGAGAACAGTTTGGGTTGATGGGAATCTAGGCGCTCATGGGAGGAAGGAAGTGGACAGACCTCTGTAAATGTTTTACAGGATTTCCTGCCTGCAGCAGGCATACACACACAGACACAAGCATGCACACACACGCTCAAGAATATATATCAATTATATAAATGCAAAGGGGCAGATAAGGAAAAACAGATCCCACGTGCGAGCGGTACCTGGGGGCATGATTGATGATTGGCTGGGGTTTGTATTTGGGGAAGCTGTAGGATTTAAACTCTTCGATAGAAGAGATTCCTGGCCAGTTCTCCTCTGTAGGTGTTCCTGAAGTCACACAATCACATGTAGGTTGCCATGTTCAATTAAGCAGGTACCGGTAATAACATGTGGTGAAACGTCTGAGTTGTTAAAGAGATCAGATCTTGCAGAAAATGCTCACCCAGTAGCCTGAAGATGAGGTGGAGCTCGTCTTCAACGGTGGAGCCGGGGAACAGAGGCCGACCTGCAGCCATCTCATAGAATATACATCCAACACCCCTGGAGACACACAAACATGCAATTTCACACAATAAATGAGTGAGTGGGAGGTGGGGTTAACAGTTTTCAAGCTGAGAATAATTTGAATTAAAAATGCTGAAGAGGTCTCATGATGAGGCGAACAGTTTTATATGACACAAAAATGTTATTAAAGTTAAGCATTACCTCTTCACGCATTCATTTAAACAGACCAAAGAGCAGTATGTAGTGATCATGGAAAACAGAGATCACTTCATGACTTTGGCTAACTGTAGGCATACTACTGGTTTGTTAGCCAAGATCTGAGGGTTGCAAAGAAGTAGTGAAACTGTAAGAGTGCAACAAAAACCGCAAGCAAAACCTGTACCGTTTCCTTTAAAATCTTTTATTCTAAAGGTGCCCAGGTGTTCATTTCCGATTTCTCTCGCACTTTTCACAGATTTACTGCTGCTTAGCAAGTAGTTGACAAGTGTCTGCAGACGAGTCATCTTTTTCCATACAAAGTATGGGTGACCACTGCGATCTGCTAACGATCAAAGCCTTTGCAGGGAGGTATGTGTTGCAGTAACATGCCTCTTTGGGACCAATTTCACCTAGCAACTACAAGCCAACCAGTTGCAGAATACACGTTTTTCCCTAGCAACCAGAGTAATTCATGACCAACTGGTGTCTAGGCCTGTGTAAATGGGACATTGGCTTCATTTCATTCCCTCACTTTATAAGTCCACAGCTAACTGAAAATACAACCACACAACTACAACAACAAGAGATCTACAACTAACTAAATAACTAGTTTAAGGCACCAACTGTGAACCACATTATCATCCTCAATTCATACCTGACACCTGACTGGTGTTTTGTTGACTGTCATTTACCTTCTTAAAGTTTTTTTTTTTTGCACCATGAAATTGAAAGAATAACTAGCAGTTACTGTAACGTCGGAGCCTACAGTATTCACCTTCTTCCTACTTATAACCGTGCTTCTCCTTTAAAATTTAGTTTTTCAAATCAGAAGTTGATAAAAACTTATTTCTGGCTTCAGACATACATTATTTATTTATTCATACACAAGCCAAAGCAAATGAAAAGCTGTTATCATTAGCAGCTGCAGTAAAAAGAATGAAATAAGAAGTGCAGTACAGTAGAGAGTGCTGTTTAGTTAGGTCATAATTCCCTGTGGGTTTGTAACTACAAGGGACACGTGTTGCATTACCAGCAGCCATTTGATTCAGCATTTAATTAGTGATGATAGTATGTAGTATTTTATTTATTGTCATTGTCAAGAACAATGAAATTGCGTTTGGGGCTTCCATACAACCCAAAAATGAAGAAAATAATAAATACCCCTTAAAACCCAAGTGTACATATTTAACCCAGTGTGACTCCAATGCAATAGACAATCCTTAGCAATAACATGAGAACATGACAAGTAATGTTGGTAGAAATTCAGACAAAGACCTGAGAAACATGACAAAGTACAACAATGCAACCCATTCAATATTATTGTACTGTGAGATATGATATCAGATATGATAGTTATCTATTTAAGAAAGAGGGGGGGGGGGCAGGAGGGGGAAGAGAATAAAGATATGATGCACCAATGCAGACCAGTTCATTGCTATTAAGAAGTTGGATATGGTTATAGCAGTTTAAAACCATAAAAAGGATTATTTGTAGTTATTATAAGCTACATACCACATATCGATCTGGGTTGAGTACTCAGAGGATCCCAGCAGAACATCAGGAGGTCGGTACCAAAGAGTCACCACCTCGTTGGAATAGGTTTTAGTTGGAACAGACTTGGCCCTGGCCAAACCTGCAAAGCCACCACAGACTCATAAGGATTTTTACACAACAAATCAGCATTATGTCTGTGAAGATCCTCTCCTGCTGGTCTTCCTCTTACCAAAATCAGCCAGTTTAAGTTCTCCTCTCTCATTGATGAGGAGGTTCTGTGGCTTCAGGTCCCTGTGGAGAACTTTCCTTTTGTGACAGTATGACAGCCCTCGCAATATCTGGAACAGGAAGATCTGGAAAGGTATTTTTAAATGGCTTGATGTTATTAATAAGTCAGCTCATGTTTTCATTACTTATGTTTATGCTTTTCTGATCTAATTTGCCTGATGTGATGGAAATACAAACAGAAGAAAAGACCAAAAGATGCTTTTAGACTCTTGGGAGAATTTATATGGAAAAATTGACAAAACAGTTTAATCTGTTAGACACACAGAAAATATAACAAAGCTGGAAGGGTTGAAAAAAAAAGAGTTTACTTTACATAGCATGGGGAAAAAAAACATCATCCTCACCTTCACATTATGCATACTCATTATGTTTCCACAGTCGTCCATGTACTGCTTCAGGTCTTTGTCCTTCAAGAAGAGGTGGCACCATTAGACAAGGACGTACATGTACAAAAAGTCTATAAACGGATATTTTTCTTTTTCTCTGTCATTCAACAAATCCACTCTGAGTCTTACCAGGTACTCAAAGACGAGTGTGAGGCTCTTGTCAGTGTGAACGATGTCATGTAGCGTCACAATGTTGGCGTGTTTCAGGTCCTTCAATAATGACACTACAGATGCACAAAGATGTTTACAAAGACAGAAACATTTAACATTTATATAACAAAACCTGACTCAGGAAAATGAAACACCAATTAAAAGGACAGTTCATAAAACAAAGGATTTTAAATCAGAATTTATTTTAGAGATAAGAAGGTTTAAAATGTAACATTGACACATTCGAGCTGTCTCTCTCAGGGTGTCACGTCTTGTTGTAGTCAACTATGGCTGAGCTAAACTGCTACACAAGACTCCAGATGAAACACCAGAACTTTGATGTATCAAAGGACATAAAACCTGCTAACCTTCTCTGATGGCTGTGCACGGGGCTCCTTCCTCATGCTCCAGCCGGATCTCCTTCAGCGCCACCAGGTTGTCAGTCAGTTTACTGCGTCCTTTAAACACTGTGGCGTAAGTTCCCTGAAAGCAACACATAGCATTAATTTAATGGTAATACTGTATAGCAAAGTTACACTGTGAAGTGCATGTGGAAACTTGAGCCTTCCTCACCTCTCCCAGCTTGTCCAGTTTAATGTACGTCTCCAACTTTCCAAAACCAATCTCTGACTAAGGAAGAGAAGAATTTAAGCATATTAATTGCACTCATTTCTGCAAACAGACACTTGCAAACAAATGCAGTCTGCGTTCTGTTGACCATTCACATTTGAGCAGGCTTTGCAGGTGTTTTCCTGCTGCAACATCTTACTGTGTCCCCGCACCCTTCAGAAAACCGAAGGCGTCTCAAATCTTTACATAACCCATCATGAACACTCAAACTTTAGTTATTTGTAGCAGGGTTTTTTTAATAATGTTGCAACAAAACCCACATCATACTTTTTCTTTCAGAGGGAAAGACCCAAAGTTCACATGTGGAGGATATGATTTAGATCAAAGGTTTTCAAACTGTCAAGCAATTAAGGGCCCATTAGGATCACGTCCTATTCCAGTTTTATTCTAGACCCTTACAGAGTACCAGTGCATGAAGCGCAGTTAAAAATACTCTGTATTTATCTTATACTGATGCAGTTCATCCAGTCTGAAATGGGCTGTTTTAGCTCCTATCACTTTAAGACAACAACATGTTTGAACATGACCATATTAGGTATATAACTTCTAAACAAAAGAGCCCAGAAGAGAGGAAAAAAAACACCTGGAGCCTCAAGCCTGAAGTAAAGAGCTCACATTGATCACTCGCTAAAAAAAAAAAGAAATCTGTCCGTATTACATATAAATATTCAGTAATATTTATATATTTAGTAAAGACCCTTACACTTGGCTGGTGCAACAGAAAAAAAGAATAGAGTCAAATCTTTTTCTCAAAAATTGGACTGATACTTTAATATTACAGGACCTTCAGAAGAAATAAATCAAAGCAGCCCACAGATCTCTCACAAACTCAGTAGCAAAATCATGCACCCAGTCTCACCAACAAGTGTAGTTCCAAAGCACAAGAACAAGATAATCCCCTAAGAAACTAAGAATGAATAATGATACATATGAATATTTCATGTATGTGTGCCCACAGAGCAGCATGAATCAAACATTTTCTATCATATCTGGTTTCTGACAGCATGTCTTCAGGGATTGACCAAAAAAAACCCCCAAAAAACAAGAAGAATCGATATCAAGAAGAATGAAAGGCGATTAATTATGAGTGTTTACCGTCTTTAAACCTTTTTATTTACATTTAATCTTTCAAAAAACTTTCAAAGGCAAACTCACGATGACCACGAATCTCCCTGTCAGTGATGATAACCACACCGCAGCAGAGCATTACGATCTAATTTTATAGGCTACAAGTGTGAGGTGAGCGCATGTGACTACAGATTAATCCATCTTGGGCTTGTACCAGGAAAATCACCATGGAAACCCGGCACAGAGGGTGTCTGGTAACAGGACTGCTTGTGCCACAAAGCAGTAAAAGAACAGAGACAAACAGACACGCACGCGCACACACTGACCAGCGAGGCTCGGCGCGAACGTCGGCTGAGCGGTTGGTCGAAGGGTGGGCTGCTAAGCTGCAACTTCTCCAGGTAGCCGTCAGGGATTCGGATGTCAGCAGGCAGAGACAGGCGCTTGTTGAGGTCCTAAAACACACACACACATATATAAAGAAGTCTTTATCTAACGTTCCTAAAGAAACCGTAAAGTTAGCCTGTGTAACAAGATCACACATGTGCTGCTGACACTTGTTAAGTGTCGTCTGTATGTTGTGTAGGGCATGTTTCAGCAGTGAGCAGCACAAGACAATGTGCCCTGCAGAATCCACCCACATCCCTGCTGCTTCTAAAATAACTCGTCCTCTTCTCCTCCTACTCCCAGAGACGACAAAAAACAGGTCGATCACCATCTTATGAAAGGTGAAAATAAGAGGCGGCCTGTTGAAGTGTGACTGCTGGTAAAAAAACAACACCATGATTACAACATGATTATAAAACTGTACCTGCGTTAAGCTCGTACAGCCAATCTGCACTCATACTGCACAACTCACATCTAAAGTGTTCTGGATGTCAGATCATATCTATTCCAGGATCAAAGTCAAGAACACCACATCTGACACTGACGAGCTTACATAATGATGATGGATGTAATGGGGAAAAAAAACATTTAGTGGATTAAAAATACAGCGTGCATAAACCTCCCATCTCTGTACTTACCTTTAAAGTTTGGCCTCACCGCAAATAAATTATTCCCTCTCATGACAACAGTTTTTTGTTTTCTGAGACTGCTCGGAGAATAAGTTAGTATTATGAGTTCCCACAAAAGTCTGATCATAGTCAACATATGCATCTTGTAAAAGGAAAATTTGTCCTCCATCAAGATGGTGTCAATATATGATAGAGTCATGAAAAAGAAAGTTTTTCACAGGACATTTCGATTCACAAGATCTGTCTAACCACACAACTACAATGGGAAGACTGGTAGTATTAACACAAAGGGACAAACTGCCAAAATGTCTCCAGAGGTGCTCACAATTGAAAATGATCTTTTTTTTTTTAGTTGACCTAATTAGCAGCACCTGCCTGCTACCTACACTCTTATGGAAGTGGTAAACATGTAACTTTCTCAGCAACACTGTGAGCCAATTGCTTGAAGCTTGGCAGCCTAGCCAAGGAAGACCCTATTAAACTGTGGTGAAGATGTGAATTGCTTTCTTAATGAGTGTAAGATAGGGCACTGACCCTGGGGGAGGACTGCACTCTCCAAAAGCCAATATTCTAACCATTTGTTTGTCAGCAGAGTTATACAAAATTGATCAGGTCAAACTTAATGAAACTTGGTGGAGAGGCGGTGGAGTGTGGACAAAGGGACAGAACCAACTCATTCCTTCTGAGATCTACAACACTCATTTTCAAACTGCGAGATATCTCATTGGCTAGTGCGATTTTTAGGTAGCTTCCTATTTAAACTACGCTGTGCATCTTCTTTAAGAATGAATCAACACAAAGACTTTGTAGACTTCTGAAGCATCAGTTTAATGGGTTAAGAAAATACCCATACTGCTTTTATAATATAGGAAACAGATTTTACCCAGGCATAGAGCTGGTTCACAAGTGAGAAACCAAAAGCCTGTTTATCTTTTACTAAGACCAGGTGACCGAGCTTTCGCTGTGCTCTTAACCTCTTTGCTGAGACAACTTTATGAAAACCTCTGCGAGCAAAGAACCACAAGAAGAGCAGTACGCTTACCCTCATGTAACGCGTATCTGCTGTCTTTGACCACATCCTCGATTTCCACTTATTTCATGCACAAATGAAACTAACATTTAAAAGGGGTGAAAAGCAGGTCAGTGTGCATGTGTATCTCTGTGAGAGGTAGCATACATCAGGGAAGGTGATATGGCGGGTTCTGGCCTATTTTACCATTGACCAGCAGGGGGCAGGGGGTCTCCAGGTGAATTCAGTCTTCCTTTCCAAATCAATATTCCCCCAGATTAAAAAAAAGCCAAACAAGTAAACATATCAAGTAGGTTTTATAGTGCACATAATCTATGGTAAAGTCAGCATTTGCTTTAATTCTATTAGGAGAGAAGAGATTTTCTGTAACTTCCTAGTGAGTAACACCATAACAGGTGCAGTAAAAGGGTTCAAATGATTACAAAACCACTGAAAAATTAAACAACTAGAAGGCATAAAAATCCCCTGATAATCATGAGATCTGTTTCAATTCAGCTCTCTCCCTCTTTTCTGTTTTTTTTCTTATCTGAGCTTGCGTAAGGGACTAATTCTAATCTATCCTGGGTGACACCAATGCCAGTTTTTCATGTATAAATAACTTTCTTTGGGGTATTAAGAAAAACAAAAAGTGGCGAAAGCTGAAAATATGAATGAGAAAATAAGGAGATTACTAACAGGAGTCATTTAAAATGATTATGCAACAAAATTGGCCTAATGCTTGTTTTTAATACATTTTATATTGTATTATAATTCACCCCTGCATTTGAAATGCTACAAGTACTACTCACTTATACATGTCACACAGTTGTTTAAAATAGCACAACATAATTGTATTCTTCTTTACAAGAAGAATAAAGGAGCATGCTCTCAAGTGTAGACAGCTGACAAGAAGAAAATCACTGTGGTAACCAGCACAGATTATCTCGTCTCTTTACCAGCCTCTTCTTTTGTCCTCAGGGAGCAGGGCTGCTATCAGTATCATGACGCCCCGACTCTTAGAACCCATTAGCCGAGAAACAATCTGTCCCAACCCCCTCCCAAATCACTTGAGGCAGTGGAGAAGACGAGCAGAAGGAGATGAGAGGTGAAGCGTGGTATGTGGACTTGCAGCGTAAGCAGTTTTTACATGATTTACAGTGTGTGCATGTGTGTCGGGATTCTGCACGTCTCACCTCCATGGAGATTCGCCGGTGGACCCTGTTCCTCAGACAGACGCCCGTCGGAGACTGGACCTCGTCTGAAGACGTTCCTGATGCCTGATCGCTCTCCCCGTCAGATCCCATCTTCAGATTTTCGTGGACAATATCTGAAAAAAAATCAAGGATAGGGCACAAGAGGGCTTTGGATAAAAATCACACTGGAACTGCCAGATTAAGACGGTTTAGGAGTGATCCAGACCGGCTAATGATTAATGCTGTGTGTAGAACAGACCTAAACTTACAAGAATCAATAACTTTCATTATCTGTTTATCTGTTGCTTAAAAAAAAAAAAAAAGGGAAAAACAAAGAAGAAAACACCCAAAGCTAAATTTCTTAAAGGATAAGTCAATAAACTAAAAAGAGCGCAGTTTCTACTATAAGTAAGAAGGGATAAAAAGTTGAGTTGCAAATCTATCTTATAAAGCCTGAGGTAGTATGTTCCAGTTGCTTTGTGTTCATGCATAAGATATGTAATTTAGAAGCACATATTACCATATTTTAGACATTTATTTTTTATGGCTCTGTAGCTTCATTCAGAAGTAACCAACAGCAGATATTCAAAGCGTTGCCTGGTGGGCGATGGGATAATCTTGTTCAGACTTTTAAATGGTGACATTTGATAAATCACCATAAACACATCTGCTAAACATAATGCAGCTGATGAGATTTTTGGCCATCTCAAGTACAATAATCAGTGAGAAATGTACTTGTGAACGGATCTTGTGTTGGGTGAGCAAGAAAATGAAGCAGGAGAAGAAAAAGAAGGAAAAGAAGAAGAACAACAACAGCTGGCAGTGCTATCACATTATTACCCAAAAATAGAGTTAGTTCAGGCAGGTGAAAAAGTGAAGCTCATCCACAACACAGGTTTCATCTGACCACAGCACTTTCTCCCAAGCCTTCTCTGAAACACTTAGATCAGGGGTCCCCAATCCCGGTCCACGAGTGCCGGTGTCCCTGCAGGTTTTAGATGTGTCCTTGATCCATCACAGCTGACTTAAATGGATAAATGACCTTCTCAACATGTCTTGAAGTTCTCCAGAGGCCTGGTAAAGAACTAATCATGTGATTCAGGTGTGCTGACCCAGGGTGAGATCTAAAACCTGCAGGGACACCGGCCCTCGTGGACTGGGATTGGGACCCCTGACTTAGATGTTCACTGACAAACTTGTGATTGGCCTGTACGTGTGCCTTCTTGAGCAGGTTAAGGCGCTGCAAGATTTCAATCCATTACAGCATTGTATGTTATAAATGATGTTCTTTGTGACTGTGGTCCCCTGTGTAACAAGCTTCTCCCATGTAGTTTTGGGAATATCCACCACCTTTTTTGTGATAATCATTCACCCCATGATTTTCACGGAGCTCCAGATCAAGGGCGATTGATGATCACCTTATTACAAAGGTTCATGCTCATAATCTTGCAGCCCATTCCAGCACCGTGCAGATCTACAAGCACTTTTTTCTATGCTTTTTCTATCTAAGTAACATTCACATATATGCACACTCCAATAGATGCATTGGAGAGCAAATTGGGGCTCAGTATCTTGCCCCCACTTGCTTTGGCTTGCAGAGTGGAGCAGCCAGCGATTGATAAACCAAGCCTTCCCTTTAGCGGATCCATTCTGTACTTCCTGAGCTACAAGCACCCCATTAAACATTTAGTTTGATTAAGTTTGATCAATCGAGTGTCTTACAAAAAAGTAAGACATGACAAGAAACTTACAGAAAGAATATATGACAGAAACACTATCCATCAGTGACCACAGGGTGATGATTAAATAGTAAAGCCTGGGGATCATCACTAGTCTGTCTCCAAAGCAAACTTAATGAAAGCAAAAATGTACAGCTTTATTTCACAGAGCCCACCTTCTCCCATTCATCTCCTCTCAGACCCTTATAACCCCAGAGGCCCAAAATGCCACGCCACAACATCGCTACCTTCTCCACAATAAAACTACCACTAACACAAAAGAGGCAAACACACTCAAGTTCAAACCACATGCCCACCCTCTCCTCCGCATACACAAAAACGCTCACCGAGTTAATGAGTAGCCACAGTTTTGAGTAGTTCTCTGTCATCAATGTGTTAGCACCTCCAACCATGCAGACTATCATCAAATGGCACAGTGCGGAGAAACAGGAGGGTGAAAAAAAGAAATCACTGCAAGGTTTCTCTTAAGAAGATTTAACTTTGCATATTTCAGTCAAAGGAGCTTGCAAAGAAAAGCGTCTGGACTTCTTTAAGTTGCTTGAAGACGTTTCACCTCTCATCCGAGAAGCTTCTTCAGTTCTAAGGTCAAATGGTGGAGAGTCCCAGATATAACATATGCATATTTAACATATGCATATTTTTTGCATATTTCAAACATTACACTTGTTAATCAGCTCTTTCATGTGCTTTAACAACCAAAGTTCTTCCAAGTCTCACTGACTAATTATGTACATAGATGTATTTATCCATTCATCACTGACTTTTGAGGATGGCGTGTATCTACAAATCTGTCAGCAGGTAAAGTAAGGTCTAAATTACAGACAGAAAAACTCAAACCTCTGTCAACAACATGGGCATAATTGAGAAAACGATTTCTTTAGCGTAGACATGCAACTATATACCACTGCAGTTAAAATTATCTGGATTTTTAATGGGTCCAAGTCTGCTTGTTAAGTCGTTTTGTCACATGACCAGAATTCTCAAGTTGGTTCACACTGCATGAATTTCAGCTTGAACTATTCACACTCTCTCTTCTAAAGTGTACTGCTGCTGTTTCACAAAAAAGCATTATAATGGGAAATAAAGTGATTTTTACTGTGAAGAAATTATGGAAAAATGAAAAGAATTGGTCACATACGTTAATACTAACTGCACTTCTGGATTTATTGATCAAACATTGATCAGGGACAGGCATGATGAGTAGTTAAATAAAGATCTGCAAGTGATGGGACTGCGGACTGCAAACTCCACAAAGTAAACGACTCCTGCTTTATGACCGTGTTTGGCTGTGCTGTAAACAGTGCATAAGTCACTCTTGTTTTTAAAGCAGGGGCTCCCAGAATTACACGAAGTATCAAAGTACGCTTGTTTCAAACAGTAACCTAAAGTTTTGCCAGGCCAACCATGAATCAAATTATTTGAATTCTATTATCAACTGTCATGGGTAGTTACTCTTACTTAGAAGGAGAAGCTTCTGTTTTGAAAGATAGAAAGAAAGAAAGAAAGAAAGAAAGAAAGAAAGAAAGAAAGAAAGAAAGAAAGAAAGATAGAAAGAAAGATAGAAAGACAGATAGAAAGACAGAAAGAAAGACAGAAAGAAAGACAGAAAGATAGATAGACAGATAGATAGACAGATAGATAGA